CAGGAAGTGCTACACCTGCCCCTATGCCTCACCCCCATCCCAGGCCCCAGGAAGACCTTCCATGTCAAACAGATGTTCACCTGCACATCTGCTAATGTGGTGTACTGTATCCCGTTGTGGCCTCCTCTACATCAGGGAAACCAAGCGGAGTCTTGGGGACCGCTTTGCGGAACACTTGTGCTCGGTTCGCAACAAACAACTACACCTCCCAGTCGCGAACCATTTCAACTCCCCCTCCCACTCCTTGGATGACATGTCCGTCCTGGGCCTCCTGCATTGCCACAATGATGCCACCCGAAAGCTGCAGGAACAGCATCTCATATTTCGCTTGGGAACCCTGCAGCCCAATGGTTTCAATGTGGTCTTCACAAGCTTCAAAATCTCCCCTCCCCTGACTGCATCCCAAAATCATCCCAGCTCGTCCCCGCCTCCCTAACCATTCCTCCCACACCATTCCTCCCACCTCAAGCCCCATCCCCCATCTCCTACTCACTAACCTATCCCGCCTCCTTGACCTATCCCCTCCCTAACTCCCCACCTACACTCATCTTCACTGGCTCCAACCCCGCCGCTTTGACCTGTCTGTCTCCTCTCCACCTACACCTATTTTCTCATTTATCCATCTTCTATCCGCCTCCCCCTCTCTCCCTATTTATTTCAGAATCCCTTTCCCCTCCCCCATTTCTGAAGAAGGGTCTCGCCTCGAAACTTTCCTGCTCCTTTGATGCTGCTTGGCCTGCTGTGTTCATCCAGCTCTACACCTTGTTATCTCTGTCTTCAGAGGATTTTTGATTGCTATGATTAGCTGTGGAAAGTTGAATACCATATGTTAATGCAATAAAATCAGCACTTTTTTGCCTAGTTATATGCCAGCAATCTCGGTGAAACTGAATATGATTTTTTTTTTGATTATTGATGGCTAAAATGGACGAAGTTCTCTAGTCCTTTAAGTCAAGAATATACACCCCCCCCCACCCCCGACGAGCAATTTCTTATAGTTCAGTATTGCCAGAAATGACTTTTTTTTTTCCCTGCAGTCAGATCCAAAGTAGTCCAATTTAACAGTCCTGTACCTGACAGACTCTCAAAACATACATTTTTTGTTTTGTTGTGTTGCAGGTGATGACTTTAGTTCACAAACACCACACTAGCTGTTTGATAGAAGTAGAGTGAAACTGAACCAGGAAGTCTGGGTTCAGTGCCACCTTCTACAAAGGTGTGCAATAATATCTCTGGACAGGCTGATTAGAAATGCCCACACTAGCTAGTGTAGGTTAGCATAACCAAAATTGAGAAAGCATCTTGAAGAAAATGTTTCACAACTGTAAACAACTAACTGTTGTTAATGATAAACAAGACAGTGAATTATATATAGGTCAAATGAGTAAGCAAAAACTTTAGAAAAGGAGTATGATGTGGGGAAAATGTCAAGTTTGCTCTAGAGGGAAAGAATAAAAAGCAGTATTACTAAAACTACAGAAGAACAACTGCAGAATTGAGATTCAGAGCAATTTAAATGTTTTAATGCTTGGTAATGCAAGTACTGACGATGACAGAACCCACAAAGGGACATGGACGAGAAGTGAGTAGACAAAAACTTGGCAAATGGAATATGATGTAGGAAAACACGAGGTTATGCCATTATAGTGGGCTTTGGTAAGACTGCGTTTTGTACAATGTGCAGTTTCAGTCACTTTATTTAAAAAAGGATGTAAATTTGATGGAGATATTTCTGAGGGTTTATTCGCTTTGATATCTGGGATAGGTGGGTCGTCCTATGTAGAAAGGTTAGGCAGACTGGGCTTATTTCCACTGGAGCCAAGAGTGAGCCACAGCTTAATTGAGTTTATAAGAAAGAGCCTTCATGGTCTTGTTGAGGTGGACATGGAAGGAATGTTTCCTCATGTGGGTCAGTCTATAACGAGGGTGCATTAATAATCTCTTTTAGACCAATGAGGAGGAAGACTTTGAGCGTTGTTCAATTTTGGAACTCTGTCTTGAGGTGGTGGACACTGAGTTATTAAATACTTTTAAGGCAGGTAGATTCTTACTAGGTGAAAGAAAATCAAAAGTTGTAGGTGTAGTTGGCAGTATGGGATTTGAAACGCAAGTAGGTCTGCTAGTAGGAACCTGTAATACAAAATAAGTGCTCTATACATTTAGTGTGTACTTAATTTTGTTGGAACTTCTGAGAATTACAGTAGTCAATGTTGGATAAGACAGAAATGCAGCAAAATCAGAGTGGGACAGACTAGTATAACAGAACAGCCTCTACAGTGCAAAACAGAATCCAGATGCCTCAGGTTAGTTAGAATTCATGAAAACTCAATTACATGGGGTTCTGTCCATGGTTATGATTACACTGCATAGTTCAGATCAAATTAAGTTGACAATCTAGAAATCTAATTTTTATTTTAAAGTTGATGGTATGCCTAAAATTAGTAAAATAATCTGTGCAGAAATTCTTAACTATGCATTATGATATTGGAGTTGTTATGCATTGTGGTTCAGCATAGTCAGACTTAATTGTGAAAGCAATTGTCACTTCACTTCTGGTAAGACAGATGATATACTGCTTTCCAAGAGTGAATGGGGATGGAATTATGTGCCTTTTCAAGTTAACCATAGCAGTAGTGTATTTGACTGGACAACTTTGCAAAGTAGAATATATTTGGTTTAGCCTGGAGGAAATAAATACCCAGCCTTATTGTGTGCATAACTTAACTGTGTGCCTTTTTTTTTAGTACACTTTCCATTATCAGTTGGGCTTTGAATCATTTGGCAATAACTGGTGGTTATGCAATGCAGTATGCAGTATTCATTCAACAGGAGTCTATTTTCCAGCAGAAAGTTGGTCAGCAATATGGAATGTGTAGGAAACCACAGATTTTATTTATACAGACCCTTTTAATATAATAAAAGATAGAGCAGAAGAGTTGGGACAGGGAATGTGGAAGACAGAGTACCTAACAGTGGGGAGGTAAAGTGCATAACTTTGCAGGGAGAAATGAAAAGGAAAATATTTAGAGAATAAAAGTGGAATTAGTGTTTGTCTTGTTTCCTGGGTGATAGCCAAATTGTACATGTGGACAAACTGTAGTAAACAAAGGCTGGAAAACTAGACAATGAAGGTGTTCAATGGTTCACGGTATATTTTGATGCAAAGTGTCCACTGAATGAGGAAAATGGGTGAGGACACAATTCACAGCATGATATGGTAACTACTACTGTAACATAGCTTAAAGAAGGGCAGGAATGGCAGCTTCATGAGGATGATAGCTCCAACCTGCAGTTGGATGTCAATAGCCTGGTTAGTTGGGAAGAGCAGTAGCAAATGTTTTCCATTTGGAAAAATGTGAAGCAATACACATTGGGAAGGAATTGCATTATAAAAAATAATGTCCTGGAATGTGTTGAAGATTAGACGGGCCTTGGGAATCATATTTGATTTATTATTGTCATGTGTTCAGCGATAAGTGTTGTCTTGTGTGCCTTGTAGGCAGATCGTACGAGGCCAGTGCATCACAGTAACAGAGCAGAGTGCAGGATATAGTGTTATAGCTACCAAGAAGGTACAGAGATCAACATTAACCTTAGAGGTCCATTTGATAGTCTGACAACAGTGGGAAGAGACTGTTCTTGAATCTGTTCTTCCGTGCCAAACGGAAGAGGGTGGAAGAGAGTATAACCAGGGTGGGAGAGGTCTTTAATTAAGTTGGTTGTTTTCCCAACACAGTG